CCGGGATGCAACCTGCGCAAGAGGCGATGGCGACCTTGAACGAGCGCGAGGATCTGGGGGCGCAGATAGAGGGTTGGGAGCCGAGGGCCAACGGGGGGTCCAACACGGAGGCCGCGGAGGAGCGCGAGACAGCGACGAGGCGCAGCACGGCGCCGTCGACCAGGGGGAAGCCTGCGGCGGAACCAGGGGCGAGCCCGCGATTGGTTCTAGAGACGGTACCAGTTGCGACGGAGGTGTCGGCGAGCGACGGGCAGGCCTACCAGGGGAAGCTGAACGAGGAGGAGGAATCGCCTCGCCGCCAGGCCTTGACGGCATTGAGGGGGCCCATGCACGGCGAGAGTGCCGCCGAGACGCTTGGCTCCCTGGTCGAGAACCTGCGCCGTCACCTCGGCGCGGACGTCAGCGAGGGCTGGAAGAGCTCGACGAGAAGGAGATGAGGGTTCTCAACCGCATTCTGAAAAAAGCTGGATGGGCACGAGGCGCTTCTCGCAGTGGTTGGGGGGGGGTTATGCCAGAGTGCCAGAGAGCTCAGTCTTCGTCGCCAAGCTCGACGAGACGCTCGAGGGCGTGATCGAGCAGATGGGCGAGGATCGTGGGCCGTCGATGCTGGTCGCGACAGAGCTGAGGCACGCGGTAGTTGTACTGGGGAACATCTGCTTTCCAGGAGCGGCCAGACCGAGGTCTGGAACATGGTCGTGGACTCCACACCTTTGCCGGCTGTCGTCGAGCCACCCCGGGGCATCTACAGCCAGAAGCTTAAGGATAATATTGGCAAGGACATGAGGCTCTTCATCTCGGACGTGGCCAGCAAGCAGGCGATCGACGGCAGGTGCTTCCACTGCGAGCAGGGCGGGAACTCCCGCGAGTGGAAGGACATGTTGATCAAGAAGCTCAGCCGACTTCCCGAAGTGCTTCCTGGGGTGGCCAGTGCTAGAGGGCGCAGCTGCGCGCCCAGCTTGCCGTGGACGTCCTCTGAGCTCGGGGAGGTGCTGAGTCGGGAGTGCATCGACGCCCCTGGTCGACAGAGGCTGGGGAACATGCTTGAACCTCCGCGCGGGCTCGCAGGGGCCCTCAAGCGCGCCATGGCGATGGGGTAAAAGGTGGCCGTTGAGAAGAGTGTCGCTGAGATCGACGCATGACCTGGTCCGCGCGCCGCGCCGCGCAGCGCCCGTCGCTTTGGGCGGGGGCGAGGGGGGCGCCGGCCCGCGGGTCAGACGGCAGGCGCAGGATATTCCCGAGAACATGGGCCACTGTGGCAATCAGAACCTCGCCATGGCAGTAAAGCGCGGCCCTGCCCGCCAGTCTTTCGCCAGGGCGACTCGTCGCCTGGGGCGCCTAAGTTGCGCGAGCAATGGGCGGCCGAGGCTGGCAAAATCGCCCGACACTCCGACTGCGCGCCAGGTCAGCGGCGTCATCGGCCCCGGGAACGCCGCCGAAGCACCCGCGCCCAGCGTCGCGCGCCGTGGTTCTGGGCGCCAGGCTGCGGCGCCTGTGCCTAGCGGGCGCGGGCGACAGATGCGACGTCGCGACCGCGCCTTTTGGAAGCTGGTGCCCGCGGGGCGCCAGCGACCATCGTTGTCGACGGCGAGAAGGGCTTCTCAGTTGGAGACTTTACCGATGTGGCCGCGGGCGACGGCGCCGAGGTCGAGGCGGCGAGCGCGACCTTTCCGCGGCGGGCTGGCACGACCGAGCGTGCCAGAGGCGTCTGGACGGGAACCTGCTACCGCGCCCGGCAAACGCTTAACGCCTACAGTTGGGGCGACTTCTACGAACTCGTGGGTTCCGCCAACCCCGCGATTGGCGGTGGCGTGCGGGGGGGGGGTTCGCCTCCTCCTGGCGCGTTTTCGGGAGACCTTTCAGACTAATTGAGAAGATCTTGGAGGGGGGGCCACCCAGCCCATCAACGGCATCACAGGCCATGCACGGCGACGCCGGGCTTGCCGGGGGCATCGACGTGCGCGAGGCGGCCGTGGCGGCCTACATAGAGGCGGAATGCTTGGATTAGCGGCGCAGAGCATTCAATCGAAGGGCTGGACCACTTCGCGGGGCCACTTCTCAGCCGGGAGACTGCTGCTATTTCTGGAGACGCAGCACCGACATGTTAGCCGCCAGCTCCAGGCATGGCCCCGTTCGGGTTATCCAGATGGAATGCCGAGCAGGGTCTGGTGCTCTCATCGGAGATGCGATGGCCCCTGAAGCGCCCCCCCGAGCAGCTCCTCCACGCCGGCGAGAGCGAGGCGGCCGCGTAGGAGCAAATCGACAGTTCGATGCAGGAGGGCCTGGGCGCGGATAGCCGCGACATGCGCAGGTGCGAGGACCTCGCTCGTTAAGAGAACCCCCCAGACGAAGCAGACATTGCAGTTGCCAGTGCAGCTCCCCCCAGACCCGCTGGATATGGTCAACCTCCATCCCCCTGGAAGCCACCTTCGATGGCCGCCGATGTCGAACCAGAGCCGGCGCCCGTGGAGACGCAGCGCTACGACTACCTCGACGACGCGCCCATCGTTCCCAAACGAAATGCGAGCGATCCGGCTCCAGCCATGCCAGCGTCTCAGAGGCTCGCCCCCATATGAGAATATCCAGAAGGACACCCGGGCCCCGTCCAATAAGAAGAGCCACAAGGGCAAGGGCATGGGTCGCGCGTGAGTCGATGCCAATCTCGCGAGTGCAGCTCTGCGTGGCAGGAAGGCTGCATATCAGCGTGGCAGGAAAGAGATCGCGGTCGGTGATCGCCTACAAGTGTCGGCCTGAATGTCAGCCACGCGGCGTGAGTGGAATGCTGTCATGCGCGTTGGCGCCGCGCGAGTACTACCTCCTGAAGAAGCGGAGGCAGTTCGACAGGTCCCCGATCTCGCTCGGCGCAGCATGAGCCCCCGACGGGCGCTGGCGGACAAGGATGGCGACTCCGAGGGCGCATGCGGAGGCAAGAAGCCTCTGCTTTTCAAAGGCGGCGGCACCTGGGGGATGGCCAGGGCGCGGGGGGCGTCCAAGGGCCACGCCGACACCGACGTTCTCGACCTGGAGACCTATGCAAGGACCTTGTATTCCTCATCCTGCAGGTTGTGCGTGCCAGCAAGTGGGCGCTCCAGCTGGCCGACTTCGCCTCCGCCTTTGCGGCAGGCGACCCCCCTGATGGAACGCAGGGGGGTATGCGTGTCGAATTCCCTCGGGCAGGCATCGCCGACGTCGAGGCCGGCTTGCTGGCGGAGTTCCCCATGGCCATCTACGGCTTGGGAGATGCCCCTGCCCCAGTGCAGTGGTTGCCTTCCTTCGTGGACTACGCTATGTAGATTGGCTTTCCATTCTCCATCTTAGATGGCTGCGACTTCTACCTGAGGGGCCAAAAGGGCCTGCGCGGCCTCGCAGGCCTCGCGGCGGGCGACGTCGCGGGCGGAGGCGACGAGCATTTCGAGGAGGCGCGCGAGAAATTGCGCAAGAGGTTCCTCGTCGGAGCCTGGCGCTACAAGAAGGGCAAGTACATGGGCAAAGAGTTGGTGCAGATCGTGGGCAACACCGAGATCGCAGCGCCCGAATGCAGACATCGCTACGGAGCGACGGAGGGGGCTTCGTGATCAAACGCCAGCTCAGCAAGACCAGACCAGGAGTCTGCGCGGGTCAATTTGTTTTCTAGCCAGAGCGACTCGACCTGACTTCGCAGGTCCAGCATCCCTTCTTCAGGGCCAGACGCCCAACTGGACCGTGGACGAAATCTTGAGGCGAACTGACTTGGCCGTATGACCGAGAAGTTGCGCAGGGTCACGCTCAAGGTGAATCGCGCCTCCTTTCGCGAGTTGGTCTTCGTGGCCTTCGACGACGCGGCCTGGGCCGACGCCAGGGTCGGTGCCTCGCGGCTCGGATGCGTCGCGGCCGCCACGAGTCGGAATATCCTGAAGGGCGAGACGGCCATCGTTGTCGCCAGTTTGGCGCGGAGACAATGGCAATTTCAGAGGGGATGGCCATGGCACAGTTTATCGGGGCCATGTTGCTGGAGATCGCGTACCCCGGGTTCGACTTCATGGGGCCTACCTGTTGACGGGCAGCTTCCCAGCCATCGGCCGACTCGGCGGGGCGGCTGCGACCGCGTCGCCAACCAGGAGGCTGGCTTGGCAGCCGACAAGCGGGCGGCCATCGACGCGGCCATCGCGCGCGCAGCTATGCAGCGCCCGCCGGTCCACCATCGCTGGATAGAGGGCGCGAGTCAGCTCGCGAAGCGCAAGGGCGAGAGCGCGCTACTTCGTCGCGCTCTGCGGCTCGGAGAGCATGGCGCTACCTCAGACCGCGCGGTGCTCCAGCAGCGCAAACAGGACCGCGAGCGGATGAAGGAGGCCACCTCCTTTGCCTGCCGTGCAGAGTGCCGTTTTGCGGGCTTAGACCTCTACGAGATGGACTGCGCAGGCGGAGGCCGAAGGATTTTGAAGACGACGAGTCGAGCTACGAGCCTGAAGCGCGTCGTCGGGCTCGCGAGGCACAAGAGGCCCACCTAGCCCAGACGACGGAGAGACACATGCATGAGCCAGGATATCCGAGGAATTCAACGGGTTCTGGGCAGTGGACTACGACCAGTGCGAATATGAAAGCCCAGCGTGCGCTTGCAGTACTTGCGCAAGCATCGCCAGCAACCGCACCCCTTTGCATAACCATGTTGGTTCAAGGAAGGGGGCCACGCGGCCCCCTTTTCCAGATATGTAGCACGTTGTACAGATGAGAAGGTGGTTTTGATCAGTCTCTTTGTTTCCATCGCGTGAAGTCTCAGATGTCACGGCGTCCTCAGCTGTCCAGGTGAACACCCGCACCTCTGTAGGCCCCGGCGCTCAGTTTTTTTGGTATTCTCGCAACGTGGGCATCTGGAGGTCTCGACCCATTGCCTGGGACCGGCTTTTCATCCTGAGCTGTTCTTTGACGGTGGCCGGGAATCGCAAAACGTTCCCCGTCGTTTGTTTCTGTGCACGATACTACGGGGTCTGGGACCCGTCCCCTCCCTTCCTTCCCCGCGCGCCCAGGCCAGCAGCTCGCCGCAGACGACGGCCGCCAAGGCCATATCTTCCGAGCAGTTTTTCCTGGAGGCCCAGACGCCGAAATCGGGCAGCTGGGACCGCGCTTTCCGCCGCCTGTTCGCCCCCTCCGTCTCAGTGCTCCTGCTGCTGCTGCTGCTGCCGCTGCTCCGCTCCTTTTCCTTATAAGTCAATCCTCCCTGTCGCACCCCGAATACAGTCGGATAGGCGGTGTGGTCATTTCGCTTGAGACCCCCTTACCACCGATGACTCTGATGTTTAAACATTGGCAAGAGTCTCACAGGTGGAGGGCGGGCCGTTTTCAAAATGTGGTTCTCGCGTGAGCGCCGCGCGCACCCATTGTAAAAATGATGATATTCGCGGGTGGAGGGCGGGTGTTTTTTTCAATGTGGTTGTCGCCGTAGCGCCGCGTACACTTCTTCCCAAAAACACGCAACACATTCGCCACTGGGGGGCGGCCCGTTTTCAGAATGTGGCTCTCGTCTGAGCGCCGCGCACATTCGTCCAAACAGTTGGCGAGAGCTTCGCGGATTGAGGGCGGTTCCTTTTGAACATGTGGCTCTCGCCTTAGCGCCGCTCGCACTCGCTGTGAATACTTGCAAGGGTTTCAGAGGTTTTCACCGCTAACTCACCAGAAAAGGAGTTTTGGAACGATTGGGGATTGTCAGGGCGCAACCGTTACATTGACTCGCGGTGTTGAAGTCCCAGGGATGTTGCTCTGGCACGTCTCAGGGTCGCCAAGACGTAACAGCCAGTTTCACTCGTGGCGTTGAAGTCCTGAGAATTCTGGTTTGGTACGCTTCAAGATGTTCACACGGTTGTCCCCCAACGGGGCAATTCCCTCAGTGTGGCAATCTTTTTTCTTGGAGCCTACGAACACGGATCTTGGAGGGAGGGTATATTTCAACATCGTTGATACGTCTTGGGTTTATTTTTGTCCTCCCCTCCTCTTTCTCCTCCTCCTCTTCCCTCTTAACTATCCTTCCTCCTTCTCTTCTTCTTCTTCTTCTTCTTCTTCTTCTTATTCTTCTTATCATTATTATTATTATTCCTGCTCCCTCTTCCTTCCCCTCGTCCCTCCTCCTCATCCTTCAAATCGAGCACGCTCTGAGCGAAACCGCTGGCCGACGACGACCTTTTCCTCATCATCCTCCGTCCTTTTCCTCCTCCGCCCTTTTCCTCCTCCTCCTCCTTTTGATCCTCATCCTCATCCTCATCCTCATCCGCTTCCTCCTCCCCCATCCTCCTCCATCCCCCTCCCCCTCTTCCTCCTCCTGTTCCTTCTCTTTCTCCTCTTTTTGAACTCCTTGGGGGAGAAGTGGCGCAGCTACTTCGACTGTCACATGTCCATCCTCTTTGGGTCTTGCGGGTAGGATGGTGTTGCCGCTCCGATCGTGGCCGTTTTGGCCTCAGATCGGAGCGAATGAAAGAACCCTCCCGCCCACAACCTGTCTATGGCACCTCGGTGGCCCCAGAAGGTGCACGCGCTTGGGGCGTGCAACCGCTTCTCCAGCAGCGGGGACAATGCTACCAGCGGCTTCGCAGAGCAAGCAACACAACTGGATTGCTTTGAAGCGAGGGTGGATAGTGTGCCAGGGCACTGCATCCTCCTCGTTCTCATCGTCATTTCCCTCCTCGTTTTCTGCCTCCTCTTCCTCCTCCGTCTCCTCGTGTCCCCTCCCCCTCCCCTTCCCCCTCCCTTTTCCCTTGCTTCCTTATGCCTCCCTCTTCCTCCTCCCTCTTCCTCCTCCTCCCTCTTTTTCCTCACTCGTCTTTCCTCTCTTCCCCTTCCTCCCTGCCTCTTGCTCCTCCCTCGCTACTCCTACCCTCCCTCACTTCCCCTCGCCCCATTCATCTCTTTACCCCTCTCCCCCAGCCTCGACAACGGTGCTCTGGCAGGAGGCCATTCGTTGTGAAGGCGTCGTGAGAGAATCGCTGCGAGCGAGTTTCGGGGGGGCCGCCCTCGGGCCCCGAGACTCATACGACGACCCGCGACGAAACACCAGCCCCGTCGAGAGCTCCTGGTACAGCGTCGTGGAAACACCCAGGATCCTGAAAAGTATCGGCTTCCTCGGCTGGCCCGATCGCGGGCCTCTCTTGCGGCCGGGCCCCATCTCCGCAGTCCGAGCTAAAATTGGAGAGCTCGGCGGGAGGTCACTCAATAAGTTGTCTGGGCAGACCTTGGGCGTGCGAGGGCTGTCGGCGCGGAGGGCCCCGTAGCCCTGCTTAGTCGCCGAGCATGGTCCAGGAATTCATTGACCCGCCGCGATCGCTCATCACCGTGATTCTGAGGGTTGGGGGGGACTTGTCGGAACGGTCGACGGGAGCGGGGGGGCGGGGGAGGGCGGCGGCTCGTCGGAACGGGAGGCCTCCTGGGACTGGTGGGCCGAGTGTTCTGCAGGACATGCCGTGTTTACCCAGGGGGGCATCCGGTGCCTCTTGCAAACCCTTGTCGTGATGGCCCTGGACGTTGGCTCAATTGGCTCAAGCAACCCTGGACCGACCCGGGACTGGAAGGAGGCCCCAGTCTGGCCAAATTTGGGGAACGCTCTTCTCCCTGGCTCGTGCGGGCTGTTTTTCAGTGTAAGACTGGGCCCTCGGTTGGTAAGGGTTTTGCCTCTTGGATCCCGGACACTGGTTCCCGATTGCGTTGGTAGCGTTTTTTGCGAGGTTGAAGCGCTTTGCCTTCTGTTTACCTTCTGGACCACCCCATGCATAGCATAGAGTAAGAACGAACAGAGGAGAGGAAAGGAAGAAGAAGGAGGGGGAGGAGGAGGTATCACTACTACACCGACCGCGGGAGTACCTATAACTGCCGCGGGGCTGGAGCATTTTGAACCACGGCCGAGCAGACCAGCAAGGAGGAAACCTTCACCCTGACCACCATGACCTTCAACGTCCGAAGCTTCAAAAAGCTGGTGCAACATTCGACAATACACCGCCTGCTGATCTAACTATAGCGGATCCAGACGCCATCAACTAATATCTGCCGCGACCGACAGGGGGACTGGTGCGCTTAGTCCGCCACCTGTGCAACGGGCGTCGACGAGAAGGAAATTTTCCAGAGTGGATGAAACTCTTCCATTCCCCACCCAGTACGCGGACATGCACACTGTCCATCGACATCGCCAACGACGCCATCGAAAGGGTCTTTGCTGCCAACAAGACCACCAACGACTTCTGGATCAACCAGATGCGCCAAGGCAAAGTGGCAGCACTTATGGCAGGGGC